AAAGGATTTTATTGTTTGTTTGTTTATGGACATCTTTGTTAAAGGTAGACTTTTGGCAGGGTTAAGAGACCTGTGTTTGCAATGAAAGCAGTTCTAAGAGGGAAGGTTATAGCTGTAAATGCACACATAAAAAGAATAGAGTGATCCCAAATAAATAATCTAATGATGATCTCAAGGTCCTAGAAAGACAAAAACAATTCAAATCTGAAGCAAATAGAAGGAAAGCAACTATAAAGATCAGAGTGGAGGGGCCAGGGATTTAGCTCAGTGGTTTCGCCGCCTGCTGTGCAAGCGCAAGGACCCGAGTTCAATCCCTGGTACCAAAAAAAAAAAAAAAAGATCAGAGTGGAAATTAATGAAATTGAAACTAAAAAAACAATACAAAGGATCAATGAATCAAAGAATTGTTTCTTTGTATAGATTGGAGGAAGCTTTGGCCTTAGGAGTAGAGTTGGAGGTGAACAGGAAGTAAAAAGGATCAAGTTTCGATACATATATGTAACAATTCCCCCAGAATGAACATATTTGTTATGTATTGCAAACATACACTAATAACAAATGTTGAGGGTAAAAAGCCCTATGTTCAACATTTACTTCTCTGTCTGTTCATGTTAGAGAAATCATTTACCCTTTGTAAACTCATATATGATTTGGAAATATTTTCTCCCATTTTGTAGGTTGCCTTTTCACTTAATCTTTTAAAATTTTTGACATATAATAATTACAGATATTTATACAGTATGATATAGTATCTTTTTGTTTTGAGACCGAGTTTCACTCTGTTGCCCAAGCTAACTTTAACTCCTGAACTCAAGCAATCCATAAAGAATGAAACCATGCCATTTGCAGGATCTTGAGATTATACTGTTAAGTGAAATAAGTCAGACACAGGAAGTTGTACATCACATGGTTTCTGTTATATGAGAAAACCTAACATATAAATTAACTGAAGAGTAAAAGGAGAGATTGTAGCAACCAGGGAGGGCAGGTTTTTGGAGAAGGGGAATGAGATTAGGAGAAGAAGGGAGTGGGAAAAAGAGGGGAGGGAAGGTGGATAAAGGGATCAAAACTGATCAATAAATGATCAAGAAATTATATATGTACTGATTCCACAAAATGCGTGTAACCATAATGCATCTTATGTATCTCAAACACGCTAATAAAAGGAAATGTAACTATAAAAATTTTATTTTTGACACATAGTAATTACAGATTTATAGTGTGATATAGTGTTTCCCTGTTTGTTTTATAAGCTAATGAAATGTAACTGCAAAAATTTTACTTTTGACACATGGTAATTACAGATCTTTATACAGTATGATATAGTATCTCCTTGTTTGTTTTGAGACAGAATTTCACTATGTTGCCCAGGCTGACCTCGAACTCCTGGGCTCAAGTGATCCTCCTTCCTCAGTCCCCTGAGTAGCTGGGATTACAGGCGTGTGCCACTGAGCCCAGCAGTATTGTTTATTTAATCCTTAAATTCGGAATGTTTTCCCATTTATTTTGATCTTTAATTTTTTCAATGATATTTTGTAGTGTTCAGGGTACAAACCTTGTGCTTCGTTTATTAAATGGATTAAGTATTTTATTCTTTTTATGCTATTGTAATTGGAATTTTTCAGATTGTTTATTGGTAGTGGATAAAAATGTATTTGATTTTAAAATATTGATCTTATATCCTGCAACTATGTTAAACTCATTTATTAGCTTTAATTTTTAAAATAATAGATTACTTAGGATTTTCTATGTATAATATCATGTCATGTACAAGCTGAGTTTAATTGTTCCTTTCTGACTGGAAAAAATGTCTTTCATTTCTTTTTATTGCCCTGGCTAGAATCTCAAGTACAGATTTGCTTGAATAGAACTGCTAAGAGTAGACATCTTTGTTTTGTTTTGTTACTTGTTTTATGAATATTTTTGTTAAAGGGGGACTTTTGATAGGATTAAGAGACCTGTGTTCGACACTTACCTATCATGTCTGTTGATTTGGAAAAATCATTTACCCTTTCCGTTTCCTTATCTAAAACCAAGGATGGAAACCTGTGTTCTGGTCACCTCACAGAGTTCTGAGGATTAAATAAAACCACGATGTACTTCACAAACCTGCGGTGTATATGGGTGGTAGTGTCTATTTTTAGGAGCCTGTAAGCTACTGGGGGAGGAAAAGCATGCATGGAAATAATTATAAAATCAAGGCAACGCGTGCTAAGATTTATTAGGGCTATGAGTGATATGCTGTAAAGCATCTAGTACTGTACATAGAGAAATGTTTTAAAAATTTAAGACATCAGTACTGCGTTGTCACCTAAATTAGTTTGGATCCCATTTAACAATCCTTTTTAGGAACTAGCATATTTTTTTAAACATAACTACACTCAAACCTGTCCTTTACAAAATACAATAGCTGTTGTTTATAGGGCTTACTATGGTTTTTGTGTGTTTTGAGGCCCACAAGCATTTTTAAATCAAAAGGAAATGGGTAGTAAATTAGGAACTTCATTTATTTTCTATTCACCTAGGTCGACTGTATAGAATTGTTCTAAGCACGCCATTTATTTGACATTATAAATGATACATTTTTCGTATGCAGTCTGCATTTTGGATTATAAACATGTAGAAAATAGTCCATGACATAGCGGATGGTTCCTGAGTCCCTTCCGGGTTCTCACATTATGTCGCGCTGATGATTGGCAAGAGAGGCTAATCTTACTACATTTAGCGGTTCTGCCGTCCTTGCCACTGTATATTTTTTATCTGTGCTAGTCTGTTTTAAGGGTTCCTGTGGCCAAAGTATAGTCTGTCACAGTCAATTGGGCTTTGAGGACGCCTAAATGCTTTCAGATGATGAGGCAGCAAGATCCTGTGAATGAGTTTCTCACAGCGCCTCCTCACAGGAAAGGAAGGAGGCCCCCACTCCCAAGGCCCCTCCTCCCGCTGCAGGAGATATAGCCACACCTTCCCGTATCGGCGCTGAGCAGGTGGCCAAACCCTCGGGACCTGGCCCTGCCGCCGCCCCGTGATCCAGTCCGTTTGAATATCACGTGACACGGGTCAGCTGTGCCGCCGGGACCCCCAGGCACCGACCGCCTAGTGCTTGGTCCCAGGATCTCATCTTTCCGCCACCCCTCCCCCCACAATCCCGGAAAAGGGGGAGGCCAGTGATGTCATCATCCGGGCACTTGTCGGCGGGGCCACGCTTCACAATGGAACAAAAACAAGCAGCCTAAGTAAAACTCAGCGACGCGGCTGCAGCTCACGCAGTTAACCCTGTCCTGGCCGTTACACACTGCCAGTCCCCACTGCCCAGCCCCTTTTCTGGCGTGGTGTGCCAGATCCTTTCGGGTCTCCCTTCCCCCACTTCTGCCCGTCCTCGTGCCACCTCTGCCCCCGCCCCGTTGCCGAGCCGAGGAGTATGGAACGCCGGGTCTGGCCGTAGCATGATCCTGAAGGGACTGACCAGAAGGAAAAAGGTGCTTCGCGAACAATCTTTACCGCATCGTCTTCCCCTCCCCCACCCGACTCTGGGTTCTGAGCGTCTCTCGCACGGCCCAGCCCACTGCGAGGCTCACTCGGTCCCGCTGGCTCCACAGCCCGGTGAGGAGAGCGGGGCAGCTGAGCGAGAGGGGGCTGGGCAGGGGAAAGGGGAGGGCCTGGAGGCGGGGCCTTGAGGGGCGGGACCTGACGGCGGAGAACCTCGGGGCTCTGGGCGGTGCTGGGGCTAGTAGGAGTCTGCGCCGCCGCTCCTGCCGCTCCTGCCGCCAGCATAACCGCCACCGCCACCGGCCGAGCGGTTTTTTTTTGTTTGTTTGTTTTTTCGGTTTGCCGGATCCGCCATATTGAGGGGGACAGGCGTCCGCGGCTGCGGAAGCTAGTCTCCGCCGCCGCCGGAGCCGCAACCTCTCCGTACCCGGCCCGCTCGGGCCTCTGCCGCCGAGCCCCTCCCGCCTCGCACAGCTCTCCGCCCTCGCGGGAGCCCGCCGCTGCCGCCTCTCTCTCACGGGAGGCGGCCGCCTTAGCGCCCAGTGCTCGCTCGGGTCGGTGCCAGGATTGGGGAGCGAGCCGCCGAAAAGCGACCAGGCCAGGAGCGGGGACAGAAGCGGCAACTGAGGGAAGGTGAAGCTGCCGCTGCAGGAGGAGGAGCAGGGGGAGGTGACGCAGGACAAACGCACCGCCCGGAGCCCGTCTGAGCTCAGCGAGTGCCCCAGCTTGAGGGGAGAAGGGGAAGCGGGTCGCCGCCGGCCGAGGAGGTGGAGGCGGTTGCGGCCACCGCTGCTGCAGAGCGGGCGCGGTGAGGAGCGAGTCTCGGCGCCGGGTGCAGCCCCTCGTTTACACTCCCGCAGTCTCGAGCCCTGCCGCTGTAGCCCCTCGACACACTTTGTCGCCCGTCACCCCCGGACCTGGGATGCACCCAGGTTAGGTTGTGGACCGGACCGAGCTTAGCCGTCGCCTAGTGCCCCCGCCTTCGAGTGTCCTGGTTCGAAGTAGACGCCCGAGTCGTGCGGTGAGTAGCCAGCCGCTCCGGGGCCAACAGCTGGCGCGGGCGCGGGGGGCGTGCGGAGTCCCTCCCTCCGGGGCCGCCCGGGGCCGGGGCTCCCCTTCTCCCGCGGCGGGCGGGGCGGGGCGGGCTGCGCCGCGAGCCCGGCCGGCGTCCCGGGAGCGTGGCGGTGTGTTTTGGACGGGAAGGGAAAATGGCTGACGGCTCTGTCCCTCCCCCTCCTCCCCCTCCCCGTCCTGTCTGGGGCACGGTGGGAGGACGGCGGCTCCCTCAGGGCGCCGCGAGCGGAGCAGCCCCCACCCCCACCCGCCGGGGCCGGGTCAGCGCCGCCCCCGCCCGGGGCCCTGCAGCCCGGCACTCCGACGACTCGCGCCGCCCGCCTCCCGGGTCTCGTTCCACTTGACACCGAACGCCATTACTGAGGTGGAGTGATTTGGAGCGGGAGAGCTAGGCCTCGGCTCCGCCTGGCTATCGGGCTCGACGCCGGGTTCGTTCCTCCACCCTCCCGCGATAACCCGCAGCTTCTCCTCGGCCCCGAGGTCCCGGAGTCTGAGCCGAGTTATCGGCCGCCTCCACCTCCTCGGCCACCCTTCATTTGCGGAGGGCCAGAGCCGCGAAAGGTGTTTGCCTGCAGAAATCGCTTCCAAGTGAGCTTGGACCTGCCACTTTTCTATTTTTAACTATTTTCTGCAAAAAATATTAGTATGTGCCAGTTTGTTAGTGATGAAATCTTAAGATTCTTGTGATGTGAGGCTGCGGGTTTGACGAGTGACTTATTTTTCATTCATTATGAAATATTGAAGAGTTACGGAGCAGGTGTATAGCTGTTTTTTGTTTGTATGAATTACTGCAGCGACTGGAACTTAGGTGGGAGTTCTTAGGGTTTTCAGTAGGACTTGCTTGAATTAAGCTATTGGCGGTGCGGGGGGGGGGGGTCCAGCGACCCAACGTTAATTGAACTTTCATGGTGTAGTTTACAGGTGTGTATAATTGCTCAGATTGCCTGAATTTAAGCGAGTTGTAGGTTTAGGTTAAATATTTATACAGGTACAGTAGCTTATTTTGGGAGGAGAGATATTTGTAGCATTCTTTCATCTAGAAACCTACGGGCCCCTTAAATCAATCGGTTGTATAATTTAACTTTTGAGGAAGAATAATTTGGATGCACTGATTAGGAGGAAACTTTTCAGCAGGTACTTAATCCTCTCTCGGGGCCTATTATCTACCTTTATGATAAGGAGTAGTTAACCAAGACTAGCTTGGCTTTCTTAACCCATTGACTTGAACTTAAAAATAGAGACTACAAACTCTCCTTTAGATTTCACTGGTCTGCTACTGATTCACTGGGCTGCCATTTTGGTTTCAGCAAATGCCTTCCAAATTCTTGGAAGATTTATGTGTTAAATATACACAGATGTCAACATTTGTTTTTTCAGTTTTTAAACTCATGCTTTGTCATACTTGTAACTTAACCCTTTAAACTTTATTGTTCCAGTGTTTAGGTACAGTGAGAGGTTGAAGTATTTGGAATTGATGTTGCAACGGTGAACTCAAAATGTATTTGATGTTTTTAGTATGTTTTGCTTTCTCTGATTTGAAATTGCAATTGGGGGGCTATACAAATATTTTTTTCCATACTTTTTCTTACTTTGCACTGAAATTTAACTGTTGGAATTCTTGTTATCTTAATGTTCTCATGGTGTTTCTTTTGTTTGGTGACCTTGGTAGTTTCTGAGAGTTTCTGGAAGGACTAAGTAACAGCAAAAAACAGTGCATGGGAGAATGTAAGTTCTTTCAGAAAATAACTTTGAAGGACAAATTTCACCTTTCACCAAATTATTGGTATCTCTTGTTGGTATTCTGTAGTTCTGTTATGGTAGTATCAGTGGAATGCTCAAGTACAGTAGGATTTACTTTGGATCTTTTGTCTTCCAGGATCTTGAAATACATTTTCTGATGTCAAGAAGATGAGGGATTTCGTGGATTATTTCTTCAGAGATCATTTTTCTTTGACATGGTATTAATAATGCTGTTTCAAATTAGTGTTTGCCATGGATATGCCAGTCATCCAGTTCTTGATTAGCTGGACACATGCAGGTGTTCTTTTAGCAGTTTTTTAAATCTCATGAGATTGATTTTTAATGTTTTTTATACTTTAGTTCTGTAATTTTAATACTGAATCCAATCTTTGTTTAAAACAGGTTAAAGAGTTACTTGAAACACGGGTACGTGTTTAAAGGATTAGTCCTCTTTAAGTCTTTTGGGCAGTAAAATGGAAGTAATCTTGTGGTTATTGAGCTAGTCAATTTTTATTCTAAAGCCCTGTAATATTTTTGATGCCTTTTGTCATATTTTTACTCTTGTTCGTGTGTTTTCTGAATCTTGAAATGTTTTTCTTTTTCAAGAATTGAGAAATAGGATTCTAGTGTTCTTTCATTTCTTTTAGGAGCTGCGTATGGTATGCAGTCACAGTGGAAAAGTGCTAGGCTGTTGTTTGTTTTGTGACAGGGTCTCCCTATTTAGCCTAGACTGACCTTGAATTTGCTATCCTCCTACCTCTACACCACTAGGCCAGGCTCTGGCATGTTGTTGTTAGAACTTTCAAGTGGATAAATGAGAAAAATGGATTTTTTTCCCCAGCTGTTTTCACTTTTCAATACAATTATTATGTATTGAGGATTATATGTCAACACTGTTAAAGCATTTCCATTTATTATGTTTTGTAGATAGTAGTATTTCCATTATACAGGTGAGGGGCCATGGTCTGTCAGTCTCAACCAGTGATGCTTTAGCTTCTGTGCCATGTTAGTGAAATGATACTGATTACTATTTAAAAAAAAAAAAAAAACAAAACATTTAGCCGGGGAATTAGCTCAGTGGTTTCACCGCCTGCTGCGCAAGCACAAGGACCCAAGTTCGATCCCTGGTACCAAAAAATAAAAACTAAAAAAACATTTAGGACTTTTTGTTGCTGTAACAGCATACATAGTGTTTAAAACTATCAACATAGTATGCAATTTGAGAAATATCTTGGTTGGCCAAGGGAGATGTAGAAACTGTAGCACATAGTTTCTTTTTCATGTATCTTCCAATGTGTTCAGAGCGATAGTTTTATGGCAACTCAGCTTTCCTAAAGATGTAAAACAGCCATTTGTCTCCGGGATATTTATTTAAATTATCCTATAAATGAACAGACAACATTGTCGTTTATTATCTCAAAAATTCTTTGTTTTATTAGTTTAAAATCAGTTTAATTTTCACCAAATAACTTTTTTTTTGGTACCGGGGATCAAACTTTTTAAACTGCGGGTCTATTTTGCATTTTTGTAGCATTGGTTGATAATTGTTTTATGGAATGAACAAAATAGCAACAATAGACTTTATTAGGTGTTTGTGTCTCTTAACTCCTTTGATCTGTTTTGTAAAACTATACGGCAGAAGAAGCCTAGTAGAGTAGAATTTTAAGAGCTTTGTTTTTCAGCAATGCTGGGGATGTACCCCAGGGCCTCTTGTAGCTCTACCCTACTGAGTGATACTCCAGCATTATGAGCTTTTTTTTTTTTTTTAAAGTACCGGAGATCGATCTCAGGACCTTGCGCTTTTGAGGCAGGCGGTGGAACCACTGAGCTAAATCCCCGGCCCTTTATGAGCATTTTTAATGTGACAAAAGATTCCTCAAACATTTTTCATATAGAATACTTAGTTACCCTAAAAGTTTATGAAATAAGGAAAACAGCCTAAGTGAAAGTTTCTGAAATGCGAATTTGGGGGCTTGAATTTATCATTCAGTTATTACTGTTGATTACAAAGTGATGATCACTGTAACATGCTTTTAAGGAATAAAATGTGAAAAAGTTTATTGTTAGCACGAAATACCTTACCTAAAATGTATTTTTCAAGTACACCCATGCATGCATGCACACTTGTACCCTGTATGTATATTCAACAGCGAATGAGTTTCTAGTGGTTTTTTTTTCCCCCTTTGAGAAGCAGTCTCAACGTTTCCCTGGAAGGCTGGCCTGGAACTTGTGGGCTCAAGCAACAACAACAACAAAAACCCGGTATCTGGAACTGCAGGCAAATGGCACCACACCTAGCTAGGTTTCTAATTTTATTCTCAATTACTGTCTAACTGATTTTTCTGCCTCAAGTATATATCAGAATCATCTGTGGAACTTTTTCAAACTATGTGTTTATTTGACTAGGTCTTATTCTTTCTAATCTAGATTTAATTGAGTGGATTTGTAGAGGGAACTGGGCACTTAAAAAAAAAAAAAAACTCCACAGGTGAGTTATGTATAGGTAGAGGCTTTTTGCATATTCGTTTTAGGGGAAGGGGAGATCCAAGGCCTTTTGCATTTGAGTTTTGTCACTAGCAGCGATATGTATTCTTGCTTCTGAGTACTTTCTTGGAGTTACGGTTCCAGCTCTAAAATGAACATTTTAAAATATCTGTTAAGGCATTGGTTTCCTTTTTTATCCAGTCAGCAAATATTTATGGGCATCTGCTATGTGCTCGTCACTGTTCTGACAATTACTGTTGTCTAGAAGCTTAAGTTGTATGAAGTAAGGAGGGTTGAATTAGCTAATCTCTAAACTCCTGTCATTTTCTTTTTGTGTGTCTTATAGGAGATGGAACTGATTTGTAAGAAATGGATCTTGTTATGGTATAAGCCAGTGGAAGTGTCCTATTACCTTTCAGTTCCTTTAGTAAAATAGAATTTTATTCTGAACTTTTTTCCAGTGAGCTCATATCAAAGTATAATTGAATTTAATTTTTTAAGAATTCTTGGCATATGGACTTTAGGAATTGCTATACTTAAGGTGCTTTTAATTTTTCACCAGAAATAACATATTCTGTTGTTACACTTTCTCCTGCCTTTATTTTTCTGTATTGATGCTCTTATTACTACACTGCTTTTCTTTTCATTTCATTCAGGTGCTTTGATTAATTTTGTCCTCTAAAGCCTGTAGTCCTGGCTACTTAAGTTTAAGCAGGAGAATTGCTTGAGCTCAGATGTTCAAACCAGCCTGAACAATATAGACCCCATCTTAAAAAAATAATAAAAAATTGTCCTCCAGATTTTTTTATATTGGTGGATTCTGTCTACTCATACTCAAGATCCTAAGTCACTGATTGATACATCCTTGGCAAACAGAAAGTGCCTGGCACATAGATATTCAGTAACTACTGTATTTGTTCAATGAATATAGTTAGGTCTCCATATTCTTGCGGGTTTTTTTTTTCCTTTTTTCTCTTTTGCTAAGTTGTTTCTTGGAGATGTTTAACCTAATAATCATTTTATGATGAGTCTTGGGATGAGTCTTAATTCTAATCAAATTCTCATTTTTCAGATGAGGAAAATGGCTCAAAGAAATGAAGTAAAACATTGACCAAGATACCATGCATAGACTGCCTTCATGATGCTACATCCTAACAAGTCACATTAATTGTTTTCTAAGCCATTACCTTTATAGTCACTCATACAATTAACACCAAATTCTGTCCCTGGTAGTGGGTAAATATAAGGTCAGGGATTCTGTCCTTTTGTGTATTACAGAACACCTAGAATGATGCTGTTAACAATAACTGTTGCCTGAATGGCAAAACCTGGAACAGTAATTTCCAGCACCTCAAACTTGCACA